ACAATTGTAATGTCCTTCGGTTCTGAGTGAAGATCCACACGACTAGAATTACGTGGAGAATTTCTTCCCACTCAGTCTTTGGAGCTTGTGGTTCCTTTGCCCCTCAAAATGGCTTTTGTGCTATCGTCCCTGACACGGCCCCCTAGAGCTTACTAGAAACAGAGAACCTCAGACTTGCATTAGGACAAGACCCCAGGTGGCCCGTGTCTGAATTTTAAACAGACTGAAGTGGTACTGGTGTTAGTGATCAATACTGGGGTCACACGTTATAAAATGTTCCAGGACTTGATCCCAAAGTGCAATCCACTGAAATCCTAAGTGAAACAGTTTGTGAAATCAGGGGTCTTGGGGAGTGTGGACATTACAGTGTGTATGCTCAGAGCTCTGTGTCCTGAGCGCGGGCCTGATCCACGTATCCGGCTGAGCATACTGGCAGGGTTTCACCTTGTTCATTTCGATCCCCCTTGGGGTGGGGTTGGGAGAACAAGAATGTCCCTTTTCATTGGCCCACATCAGATATGAAATTCATTGATACCAGAATTGTAGCAAAAAAGAAAAAAGAAAGAAAAAGAAAAAGAAAAAAGAAAGAAAGAAAAAAAGAAACATGTTTGCGAACCTGGCAGAGTCTGCATTTCTGTCCACTGTTTTAAAAAGTTGTCTCAGAGTCGGGGAAGATGGATCGACTTTGGTCAAGTGCCCACTGTGAAAACGCGAGGACCTGAGTTTGGATCCCCAGCAAATGTGGGCAATTCTCAGTGTGATGGCGTGTGTCTGTCATCCCAGTGCCAGGAAGGCAGAGTCAGGAGAATCTCTGGGGCTTATTGGCCAATCAGTCTAGCCAGATGGGTGAGCTCCAGGCTCAGAGAGGGATGGTGTTTCAGAAAATGAAGTGGATGGTTGGGAGGAGCCACTGATGCCAATGTATTCCCTCCGCAAGTGTGAATGAGAGCTCACACACACTCACACATTTACACACACATGAGGATAGTGAATATATACACAAGTGTGAATGAGAGCTCACACACACTCACACATTTACACACACATGAGGATAGTGAATATATACACAAGTGTGAATGAGAGCTCACACACACAACTCACACATTTACACACACGAGGATAGTGAATACAACTGTGAGTGAGAGCTTATACACATTTACACACATGAGGATCGTGAATATATACACAAGTGTGAATGAGAGCTCACACACGAAGATAGGTGAATATATACAAAAGTGTGAGTGAGCGCGCGTGCGCGCGCACACACACACACACACACACACACACCGTTCAATATTTACCACCAAACCAAAGTTAACACTTCAGTAAGTGGTGCTGTGCCGCTGCCAGGCCCCTGCTCAACCCTTGCTCCAAGGGTAAATGGTCAGATGGGAAAAGAAGTCCTGCTCATAGAGACTTGGTCATCCAGAAAGGGCAGGAATCTCACCATTGGCAAATTCCCAGTCACTTTCCCCTGAAGAGTGAGTGTGTAAATTTGGAGACAGTGAGGAGGCGCTCAGGTCTAAGAGAGCAGCCGCCACAAGGTGGAGTACAATCACAGAGCATTGGTGTGAGATCAAACTTCAGGCCCTAGGAGGGCCTGAAACCTGGGCCTCCTAGGTTTAAGTCCTAGCCATTCACTGCATTCACATTTGGCAATGAACTTGGTTCTCAAACATGAGGAAAATAATGACACTGAATGACCAGATGAGAAACAAGATCCACTGATACAAGAACACCGCAGGGACAGCTGCCCCTCCCGGATGTGAGCATGCCTCCCTCCCAGAGACAAGGGTTACAGGCCCACAGGAAATTGAGTGGGCCGTGGGAAAGGAGACTGTGTGGATGGAGGCAGATGTGCGCTGGGTTTATGTCCTTGTCACACCTTAGTTACTGAGTGTTTTGTCTCCAGATTCTCATTTGTCACACCAGGGCAGTAGTGCCCACCTTGTGGGGTTCTTGTGAGAATGTGTGCAAAATGCTCACCTTAGAGAGTAACACTCAAACATGGGGATGTCAAGCCGAGAACACTCAACGTAGTATATTGACTAGTTGGTTGAATGCTGTGACTGTTTATACTGTCAGTTTGTTAGGTTCTAGAAGTTTTTAGAAGACAAGCCTCTGGGCATGCAAGCGATGCATTATCTCAGTGAGGTTGACTGGAATGGGAAAACCCGCCTTAAACCAGTATGGCTCTATTCCGAAGGCTTCGTGTGGGCCAGGACTGAGCAAAAAAGGCAAACAAAGGCTGGCCTTAGCATTCAACCCCCTCTGCCTCACCACCGTGTACAAAACCCCTCGGGCTCCCGTTGCCACACCCTCCTCCGGGAAGGACTGGCCCTCCAACTGGGAATCAGAGCGAGCCCTTTATCTCCGTTGTGGCATTTATCAGGATATCTTATCACAACAGCAAGATGCATTTGTAACACAGGTACCCCGATGAAATCAAAGCGGGGTAAGGTATTTTCTCTGATTTTAAAAATGTTTTCTATTAAAGTTGATTAAAACTAGGTGTGGTGGTGGAGGCAGGAGGGTCACCTTGAGTTTGAGAGGAGGTGGCCAGGTGGCAAGACTCTCAAGAGTAAGAGCAATAGCCCATAGGTAATTAGAACAGATTTTAACAATGATGATATGCACTTGGTACGTGCAAACGTTCTATCAGCTGGCTGTTGAAGTCGGAGGCAGGTGTTTACTATGGTACCCAGGGTGGTCTCAATCTCCTGGGGAGGGGGAAGTGTGTATCCTTTCTTAACCCCTGGACATCTTGCACTACAGGCCTGTGGGTGGTTTGAGTGAGAATGGTCGCTGTAGGCTATTATGTTTGAATGCCAGGTCATCTGTGTTGTGTGTGTCTTGGTTGGTATCTCCGTATGTAATCCCTCTGACTGCTGCTCCAGTCCTGTGCCTGCCAGCCACCAAGCTTGCCATCAGCATGGTCATGGCACGCTCCCTCTGAAACTGTAGGCAAGCCCTCAGGTTAGTGCTTTCTTTTATAACTTGCCACAGTCATGGTGTCTCTTCACAGCAATAGAACAGTGACTGAGACTAAATTTAACCAGAGGCCCTGCTGTTGAACAATTTTAAAGTATTAATCTCAGTAAAAGATTATTCCATTTCAAGGATCTAGGAACTAATACGTTTTAAAAATGAGGAGACTGAGGTCTATCTAAGGAGGTACAGTGATGCGCATATATATATATATATGTATATATACATATATATACATATATATGTACACACACACACACACACACACACACACACACTAGGACTCACCACTGACTTCTTCTGTCCTACTTAATATTTCAGTAACTCCCTGGAAATCTTACTTGCAGTAAAATAAGTCTTTTCTCTGGAAAGCATCTTCTCCTCATTAAGATTGCCAACTACTTAGTATTCAGACATTAAACTCAGGGTGTGGTTTAGGGTTGGTCTTTCGAGTCTGAGGCCGTTGGTTAATCCTCGTGCACATAGCCTATTTTCCCTTTCCTCTGTCTCCCCAGGCCGTATACTTGGATGAGATTACTTCCCCTACACCATCATCACGATGCCTGTGATTGTTTATTTTTTACAATATGCCGTGAGATCCTTTAGGACAGGTGCCTATGCCGATTCCCCCTGCTCTTAGCTTTGTTTGGTCAGCACTAAGAACTAATGTTCACTGATAATGGGAATGAATGCTCAGAGTTAAAGGTCTCTACGACCTTTTAGATCTCGCAGTGGAACTATTTGGGCAACAGGTGCGCCATTATCGAATCATGTTGATAAATCAGGGCCACAGCATTTAAGAAATGAATTTGAGAGGATCCAGGAAGGGTCCTAAAGGGCAAACACAGCTGGATGAAAGTTAGCAGCATCCTAAGCGTGACTGATTCCTATTATACCACGCTTCCCCTGCCACCCTAGTATCTGAAATGCACCTAGGACGGAGAACGTAATGGTGTCGAGATTTTCCTCCCTGTAGAGCTTCGTCCTCCTGTTTTTAACAGCGAGGTCCTTCACAATCCAGCGTTCAGTTTTCCTTCCTGCCCAACATCTTTGAGTCTTTTACGGTGACACCCATCTCTGGACTCCAACCACTGGAAAAGAACGTGGCCAGAGCCCAGCTAGAAGGCGGCAAAGGGGGTCTGTTCCCAAGTTCAGAGGGGTCTCCCGATGTCGCCCTCAGTGCGGAGCCCCGGCAGAGCGAGGCAAAAGGGGGAGCCGCCCAGGGCGGCCGCCGCTGGGCGCGCAGAGCCCCGCTCGGGTTGGCCACAAGGGGCACCCATCTCCCAGGATGAGCCCAGAGCGGGGACCAGGGCGAGGGCGGAGAAGGGGCCGGCCCAGGAACGCCGTCCCCTCCTCGGGCGACAGGGCCCCGCCTCGCCTAAGTCCGCGCGGCCGGCGGCGGCGGCAGCAGCAGCAGCAGCGGGTCTCCCGGCGCTGCGAGAGGCAGCGGTGGTGGAGCGAGCATCGAGGACCCGGCGACCGCCGGGCGGGGGCGCGGCTCCGGGTGCGCGTGTCCTCGCGGCCACGAGGGGGCAGCAGCGGCCAGTGGGCGGTGGAGCCAGAGCCGAGGCGCCCGGCGAGCGAGGCGGCTTTGGATCCCGGCGGCGCCGGCTCCCGAGACGCCAACTCCGCCGGGGCAGAGCCGGGCGCGTCCGATCGTCGCCGCCGCCGCCCTCCGAGTCGGGGGACTGCGGTCCCTTCGGCCGGCCGGGCGTTGTGGGCGCGGGCGGCAGCATCCCCAGCCCGGGGCGCGGGCAGGAAGGGCGGCGGGCGGCGGGGCGCGACCCCCGCGCGGGTCTCAACAATGGTGCTCCGCGCTGGCGCGATCCCCGCGTCCGCCCCGCGGCCGTAGAGGAAGCGGCCGGGAGACGCCCCCCGCCACACGCTCGCCCGCTCGCCAGCGCCCACCGCGGCTCAGCCCGGAGCCCGGGGCCGGAGCCCGGCGCTCTCCGATCGCTCCTCTCCCTCCTCCTCCCCTCGCTCCACCCGGCCCTCCCGAGGGTGCCGCCTCTGGCTGCTCGGCGACAGGGGAGTGCAACTCTCTGCCTCTCCGAGGACACTGGCCGGCGGCCACCCGGCCACAACTTGCCCACTGAAAGCAAACCCCGGAACAGCCGGAGAATGTCCACCCCGAGCCGATTCAAAAAGGACAAAGAGATCATAGCCGAGTATGAAAGTCAAGTGAAAGGTAAGGGCGGGAGCGGCTGCCTCGCTCCTTTTGTGTGCCTGGTTGTCATTGTGTTTCTGGAGTTGCCCCTGTGTAACTTGGTTGTCTGCAGGGGCGGAAGATGGCGAGGGGGACAGTCAGCCCCGATCCCGGCTGGGCGCCCCCCCCCCCGCCCCCAGGGCGTCCCATAAGCCGGTCTTAACCTGATCAGACCCACTGGGACGGGGCGCCAGGTGGCTTCCCCAGGCTGGAGCTGCTCTCTCCCAACATTGAGGCAACTGGCTGGAGCCTGATCACCTTCAGCTGGCGATTGACTCGGAAAGGCCGGCAGCGCCCAGAGTTCCTGCCCAGTTGTCATCGTCACCATCACCCCTTTTATTTTTTTTTTTAAACGTGAAATCGTTGTTACGGCATATTTTTTGTATGGAGTCATTTGGGTAAAGGCTGAACCACTGAGTGAAGGCCGTTCCCGACATGTACACTTTTTCACTGTCAATTTAGCAGGGCGAGTCGCCTTTTATAAAATAGCTCCCTCAAAGCCGTGCCAGTTAAACCTACAGCCGCTACTGGAATCTGACTCCTCCTATATAGCAAAATCGGGTGCCATCCTTCACGCTCCTGAGGATATCGCTGTATCATTTGCTGGAGGGCACTTGCATGTGAAATGAAGGCTTGAGTGGATGACTTAAGTAGTCTCAGCCCATTTACATAGTCAACTAAGGAAGGCAACCTAATTAAGGTGGATTAAGCCCTTTTACTTTCTTGGCTTCATACTTTAAAAAAAAATACTTTTTCCTCCAATGCAAGTGTTTTGTGTTGCACTGGGGTGTTTTAATAAACATCTATGTGTTTGTGTCCCCATCCCGTCCCCACCCCCATGTGTGGTCCGTCTGTGCATTTCCTGATGAAGACAATGGATGGAGTGTAGAGATCACTGTTACCCAGCGCTGCGTTAAATGCAAAGTTAAAAAAGATTGTTACATCAACGCCTGCCTGTGTTTATATGCAGGGTTGTGAAAGTGTGCTTGCTTGCCTTGGGGAAGGCTGGGGTCTCAGTGTTCTTTTGTGTGGTCAAGTTGGGAAAATGCCTGGAGTCCTGGAGAGGACTCCGGGCCGGGGAATCCTGGGTTGGTCACCTGAGTGGGGTGACTCAAGACCAAGTTACTGTCAAGCAGGACACACATTTCAGGGCTGACAAGGGTGCAGTTAAGTATTTTTTGAATCACAGAGTTCTTTCTACCTGTCATGAAGACCAGTTTATACTTCCATGAACTTTAACCTTGATGGCGAAGTTATAGATTGGGAGAATTATTTCCTTCCGGCAGGTAAACTTTCTAACGAGGACAGCAGGTTCGCCAGTATGTCCAGCGTAGCCTAAAGCCTGCCATTCCCAGGCCAGACCCCTGGTCACAGTCCCATTTCCCCCGTGTAGGGTTCCCACGTGGCTCTTTGTGGCAGGTCTTGCAGGAGTGCAGTCTGGTTTTCTTACTGCCTGAGCACACTTCCATAAACCTCTCCTGGTTTGCCTTTCTCTCTTTAAGCCGAGAATTGACTCCTTATTTGAGAAAGGGATGGATAACAGCGACAAAATATTTGAATATTGTCTTAATTTCTTCTAGGGTGTAAGTTCTGTGACAGTTGATAACTTGAGTATTTGAGAATATAAACCTTGTTTATTAAAGATCAACCAAATGGGATTTGTTATCATGTATCTATCAGGTCTAAAATTAAGGAAACATTACGAACATGGTGAAAGCTACCTCTGAAATAATTCACTCCCACAAAATGTGACCTTTGCCTTATGCCTTCTCATTGTCCACACCCAGTTCTAGGTTTAGGACTTCAGTGAACCTGCCCAGCCTTGCCTGGCCCTACCCTGTGGCTAGACTATCCCACCCTCCCAGGACCCAGGAGCCTGGATTATTGTATTCATATGCAAGCATGGGAATCGGCATTTAAATTCAGTGAGGTCAATCCCAGTCACCTGTGCTCCTAGGCAAAACCTGTCACCAGAGAGGTGACACTTCACAGTGCTTATAAAGCCAGCTGTTGTGTCAAGCGATCCCTTAGGGAGGAGAGCCTGAGAGACCACCTCTGGGCTCCTGACCTCTTCCCTCCCATGCTCGTCTGGAAGGGGTGTGCATCAGGCCAGGATTTAGATTTTCGATTTTGTGATAACCTGCTATTTTAATTCCAGCTAGCTGCTTCGTGTGATGCTAAACAAAAGAAGCCAGCCTCTTCTGTTGCTGAAGGAAAAACCTGGCTTTGTTGGATATATTAGGTCTGTCCCCAATGAATAAAGCCACATGTGTGAACTCTGGGTAGCTTAGGCAGGCAAATGGATGATTCCAAACCATTTCCATTATAGGTGATTTTTTTTTTTCCCCCACCTTCCAACTTCAAGCCCAAGACTCTGGGGTATTGTTCTTTCTTGCTATCTCCCATTTCCCTGACAACAGTTGGATTTACCTTAGAATTCCTGGAATAGTATTTTGATCTGACAGAATAACTCAAGTTCCTAGATTTTATCACAGTGGCTGGGCTGGCTGCCTGCAAGGTTTTGAGGACAAGACTACCTGGAGCTTTCTTCCATCCCTGGCGATGTGTGATTTCATGTGTGTGGCCAGAACTGCATTTAGTTCCGGGATTCACGTTGGATAGGTCTCTTGTTTGTCTCTGGGGTCTTTTTGTTTTTTGTTTGTTTTCCTTATCTATGATGAACTTACATTCTCTTAGGCTTTAGGGTCTTTGGATCTAATTGAAGATGTCATGAAAATTCACATTAATTGCTTCATAAAATGTTCAAGCTTCCCCCCCCCCTTTTTTGGTGGCTCTCCTGATGTGGAAGGAATCATCTTTGCTTTTAATTTTTTTCCATAATGAGTCAACTGAGTTCTTGGGAAATCAAATTATAATTCAATAAAGAGTATGGAAAAATAAAACCATGACCAGAGAAATATAGAAGAAATTTGTAAGACAAAGTAGGAGTTGTCCAGATAGTCAAAGAACAGTTCAGTCTGGCACAGACACATACATGCCAAGCCGCCATTGAATGACACCTGCTAATTTGGAGTAGAGAGCACGGCCATGCCATACATGTTAGTCAGAGTCTCAAGAGTCAAGAGAGCACTTGGAGGGGCTGAGGCAGAGACCCTGTATTTTAGAAAAAGCAAATAAAGAAAGGGCAGGGGAAGAAAAAGGAGAAGGAAGGAATGGAGAATGGAGAAAGACGGAATCCAGACGGAAATGTGGTTGGGGGAGGGCATTAAAAAGTAAGCATGGTGGGTAAGTGTATGAGATTGCAAATAGTTAATGTCCATGTGTTGTCTCCTCTGGCAGACAAGCAGTGAAGAGGTTGACTTGGCTAACAGGAGCTTGGGGATTACCTGGGGGTCTCTTTGACAAACCTAGGTAATTCTGTAGAGAAAGAATGGGCAGCCCCGGAGTGAAAACCCAAAGTGAGAGGAGATGTGTTGTGAGGAGAAATCAATGAGACCACTGGCTTTAAATAGCATGTGTTAGTTGTTGAGAACGGACAGTTATGATTTGCAGCATCTCCTGGGGTCCCCCACCCCCCACATTCCGCTCCACGGTACAGGAAGGACTGGGAAAATCTGTTGCCCCTTGACCGATCTGCTACCTGAGACACACGAAGTACACTTCAGTGCCATCTGGAACATAAGGAAATACCAGTTTATTCTGGTACGAATTCATGTAAAATACTAGTGTCCCTAGCCTAGTCATGGAATTTGCTTGACTGCTGCCACATAACCTGGCATGGGAAAGGACGACTATTTCAACTAGGAGCCAAAAGTTTATGGTTGAGAGGTACTTCAGATATGTTCTTGACCAACCCACTCATTCATGAGATGTAGGAAGGCCCCATTACAGCTACATAATTGTACAATTAGCTGTGACTTCCTTGACACTATAATCAGGCTCCCTCTCATGTGAGGAGCGATGGTTTGCTTTCAAGTCTCTCTCAAAGTAGATGAAGGCAGGATACTTCCCCACTGAGGATTTAGTCACTGAAGGACTTGCGGTTGAACCAAATTGGGGCAGGGGAGAATAAACAACTCAAGTTATTAAATTATCCCCCCCCTTGCCAAGACTGTTTCAAGGGACCACAGTGCCCAGAGAGCAGCTTTGCATGGTGGCCTTTAGCATCAAGAAAAAAACATCATGTGAATGTGCATGTGCATGCACATGCACGCCCGTGCGCGTGCGTGCACACACACACACACACACACACACACACACAGGGTTTGCTCTTTTTTTTCTAAACTAATTGCAGCTACTATAATGAGCTCCTTTACTTGACTAGTTTTCCTAACTACAAAGCCCGTCAAAGAACACTTCCGGAGGCCATTTTTGAGCAAAGCATGTCCTTCTGAAAGACAGTGAAGGCTAGGGTCCGATACAGTTGGGACACGCCAGCCTCCATTGCTCTGTCTCTTCCCGGGTTGACCAGGAGGAGCCGTACCGTGTGAGCCCTTGTGTGAGTTTCTGAGCTGCTTGTGTCTGACCCTTGTCTTTTCTCTTCCCATCCTTTTCCTCCTTGCCTCCTTTTTGGCTGGCCTGGAACCCCCACTAACTGAGAATCACTTTCAAGTCCTGATTCCCCTGCCTTCACCTCCCAAGTGTGGAGCTCACGGCCGGCCGTGCGTGTGGCACCAAGTGTGGAGCTCACACCTACACTGTCTTCCTTTGCTCATGCTACCTAGTTGGTAAATTAGAAAAAAAAACAACAAAAAACAAACAAACAAACAAAAAAACAACTGTTTCTTGCCTGCAGGTTTTGATAGACAATTATGTGAAGACGTTGCTATTTCTGGATCCAGAGTTCCTTTCTCATTTATTGATTACCGGCATGTGCTAACTACCCTGCTGACACATCTCATGGGAAGGGTTGGGGTGCGGTGTTCAAATGCGAGCTTGGTATTAGCTATCTGCCTTGCTACTATTGACACTTGTGACATTGAAGATGCAATTTCGTCATCTGTAAGGCATGGGTCATAATA